ATGGCGTTATTACACCTTTTAAAAATAAACGTTATTAAGCTCTTTGAATAACCATTATTTTGCCTTAGACTGGCACGTGCTTTTGATAGCTCCCCACCCCCATTCCACCCACGCAACTGCCCAAATTCCGAGGGTGGACTTCTCGGTAAAACATTATTGAAGTGCAATATTTTTTTTTCCAGAATTATACGAAACTGCAACAAATTGTTAAAGAAACAAGCAACCAATAGATGAATTATAATATTTAAACTATAGTAAGACTATTTTCCCCAAAAGTGTGTGTGTAAGGGGGGATCACACTCGAACACACTCGTTTAAAAAGGAAAATAGAAAGAGTTATTTCCTGTTAAAAAATATATGAAAGACTGAATCAAAACTATCTTTATTTATGCGATTCTCTATATTCCTACACATCTCACTGACAACTGTTCGTTTCAATAGAAGTCAACACTCTACTTGAAAAAATTCAGGATATAGACAGATACAGCTTGGGGCTTTGCAAGCCATGTATTAAAATTGCTTGTCATTTGGAAATATTTCCCTCTCCTCTTAGAAAAAAAAACATAAAAACTATTTTGATGGGTATAATGAGCAATTGAAATCAATAGCCCTTGGTAGAGGTTTGGTTGGCATTAGAAAAGGCCTTAGTTCGTTCAACATTGAAATTATATAACGCATTTAACAATCTTTTTCCCTGGAAATCTAATTACTATCTCTTTAAATTACTTTTCAGAAAATTAGCCCTGTATCTAATTGTTAAATAAATATCCCGAAATTAAGATTTCTGCCCCCCCCCCCCCCGCCCCCACCCTTCCTCGGTTGGGCTTAGCAATTCATGTATAAATAAACGTGTAAAATGCCTCTGGAAAGACATAATAACGCCATTTAGAAAGGAGTAAAACACCTTTTGGAAAGGCGTACTAAAGCTTTTTGGAAAGGCCTTATTTAGGCGTAGTAATTAAGATGTAAAAACGCCTTTGTGAATGGAAAGGCATTATAACGCCTTTCCATTTTTTTTCTCTCTATTAACTGGTGCTAATGGGCTTTCGTTGTTCAGTTATTCAGAGGTGACAAAAGATATAGATTACACAATCAGTATGTACTAAAGCAGGTAACAACGCTGTCTATGCTTGTAAGGTTCATTATCAAAAATTGTGTGTTAGAGGAACTGGGACTTAATTCTATGATACAACTGATACAAATTGCTCCCTTTCTTAGGATGAAATTTCTCAAAATCATGTCATTTTTGAATATCTAAAATATTACTGAAAACCAAATGATTTTGAACTACCATATCTATCATGGATATCGAAACTTCGTAAAATACTTTCAAAGATACGTAGCGGGTTCCAGTAAATGTTCCACTAAGTCTGTTTCTTGACTCCTCAATAAAATATTAACAGTGTCAAAAGTTAAGGAAAAACTTCGGGAGTGCTGTGCAACAATATATTTTTGAGAAATGGTGTTTTTTTCCATGAAAATGAAACTAGCAAATCTACGCACATTGTCATTTGTTATCGCAAAATTATTTTCTGATTATTCACAGAAGCACTTTGAGTATAATAAAGATATGAAAAAGATGCCTGAGTTTCTGATTTCTATATCTTTCTTTTGGTTTTTTGAGACTGGTTTACCAGAGGTCTTTTGGAATTTTCATGGGACTATTTGCGCTTCATTATTAGCAAACCTATTTTTGTATTTATATGAAGCCGAATTTTTTTTAGAGTCTTTAACCTGAAAAGAAAACACTTCCCGTGGCCGTCAATTCGACATTTTCTTGAAAAAGACGTAAATGGTAATCGAACAACCAAATTTGTTACAAAAGAGATTACTTTTGCTTTTCAATCGTCAACTTCCTTTAAATATGCAGCGATATAATTTATAACATATATATGGAGTTAATCTCAGTTGATTCGATATGCAATAGCATGCTCTACGAATAACAATTATTAAAACAAGGTAAGCTATAGAAAAACAAGTTGCTGAATCAAGAATATCAGGAGTCCCGTTTAAAGTCGTCATTTTATAAGTTCTGTGGTCGATACAATGATTTTGTCAGCAATACAATTTATGTCTTTGAATAATCGGCAGACTCACCACAGTTAGTTTTTGCTTACTTTTCTAAAGATTAACTTAAACACATTCACAGAGATAATTAAAGTCATTTATTTAAATGACGGTATAAAATAAAAAAGGGGGATCAAACTAATTAGATTAGATTTAATGTTATAATAATTAATATTAACAATATTAATATATAAAAAATCTATGATCCCCCCAAAAATGACTTGATTTTTTTTCTTCTTAAAACAATAAGATGAATTCTTTTAAGAAAAATATAGCAAAATTTGGCTTATCAAAACAAAAATGGCAATATTAATAATAACAAGAATACACAGGATATATTGATAAAATTTTTTAGATTGAATACTGTTTTTTATCACCATTATTTCATTCGTTGTCTCTTTTTTCATTTTTTTTTTTTGAAAACTACTTCTATCATCTTCAACAATCAGGAAAACGTCTATAAAGATTGGATTTTAAAGTACATTTCTTGGGCCTTTTGATTTATAAAACATACAATGATGTACACATCTATAATGCAACATTACCAAATATAACGAACATTTAACACTTCATATGAGTATTTACACATAAATAAATACAAGCAACAAAATGCCTTCTTTTTTGATTTCTTGGCAATGGACAGCAAACCACAGTTTTTGTTATAAGTGTTATGGCATTCTGGTTTTAGTGATTGCCAAATTCGATGATTGATTTGTCAGAGGATTAATTGTTGGTTCTACATCAATATTTTGAACAATATGGCACGGATATCCTTTACTTTACTTATTTTATCAGGTTCTACATCAATATTTTGAACAATATGGCACGGATATCCTTTACTTTACTTATTTTATCAGTTGTAATTCTACACTTGAACAAGGCCAGTACAGACAAGAGCCACTTAAAAAATAAAAAAAAAAACAATTCAAACAATTAAATGTCCTAAATAAATTAGGATGGAATACAAGCATAAATGTTTCCTATTGTAGTAATTTTTAAGTTTTGACTCAGATGTTTGATTTTTATAACAATTCCTTTTTTTTTTTTATTTCCTTATGCCATATGGCAATCAGACAATTAATAAAAACAAAAATATTTATATTCAAATCTTTCAGTTAACGTTATAGAATGATATTTACATACAAATTATATGCTACATACAATTTAGTAGTTCTATTCTTCCCAGTGAAGAGCAGAACAAAAATCTTCCCGATTTAGACATTTCTTTGACATTTTGAACACTTTTATGAATAACGATATATTCTTACTTTAGTATTTATGTTTTGTATTTAATCAAACAGGAAGTTGTTATCAAATTTTATTTAAGTGTAAAAAAAACGCATTAGCAAATCATTGGATTTACGATCTTACGATTTTACGATTAAAGATTGCATAGGAAGATTTAAAACGTGAATAGCAAAGTCACCTTTTTAGGACAACCTTACTCTACGTATTTAAAACTCTTATTTGTTAAAAAACTGGAGAGAAAAGGGGATTTTTGTGATTTAATAAGATACACATGTAGAGTATAGCGTTTGAATAAAATCAAATTTGATAGATAGAAATCTCTTAAACGAATATTAATAAGCAAACATATCCGGTTATACCGCCTTGAATTTTACTCTGTGAACAAAGAAAATGTCAGTTTTTGATATTTTGTTCTTGATCAATTTTCTACTGGATTTTCTACTGGATTTTTAGAGTACCGCTCTATATTTGTTTAGGGCTATTGATGAAGATGAGTCAAATGTATAAAACTAAAGATAACGAACAATGAAGAATTCCATTAATTAATGCATGTAATGCATGTATAAAATAAGATAATATTTATTTAAAGTCGGGTACATCAACAAAACACATTACCTCTGAAGAGCTAATTTCCGACTACTTTCCGAATATAGGGATGCATCTACAAGATAGACTTTATAAGAAAATCTTACCTATAATTTCCAGGTAAATGAATTTTTCACTTTGTTCTTTGTTTATGTCTAACATTTTATAATTGATTCATGCATTCTTTTTTAAATTTGAATATGGCCTTCAACACACCGACTTAGGATTTAAAAAAAAAAACCCATGTTCATTCGTGGAGATTAAGGTCAGATACCGCATCCCAAACATGACAGATATTAATATTTGTAATATTTAAAAAAAAATTGCACGTTCACAAAGTGGCAATATATTGAAGATTTAATTTTATTGTAGGACTTTTGTTTAAAGTTATATTCCATAATATCTACGTATTTGTATATAATTGGGGTTACTTTTACACCTTTAACAAGGTTAAAAAAAAACGATGTTAGCCTTTTCTAAAATTGTTGTATATACATGTAGCAGTTTAAAATAATGGAAATTCTCTTTTTGGTACACAACTAAAGCCTGATCTCGTTGTTTGGTCTTATAGATTGATTGATTTATTGTATGTTGCTTAACGTCCCTCTCGAGAATTTTCACTCATATGGAGACGCCATTACTTGCCGCGCATATTTTGTTCTATACTCGGCCCTTAGGGCCATTGAGCAGGGGGACGTTTTCGTGCCAGCATCTACTGTGTTACGGAACCCCGATTTATACAGTCTAATCCGAAAGACCGGCCTCCACGTTCCACAGTTGGATTCGAACCCACGACGTAAGGATCAGCTCCTTCCTTATCAAATCTAGACCAGACACTCTAACCACTGCGTTCTTTTTGAAGTTATATTTAGGTCTTATAAAAGTGATATACACGATGTTTATAAAGAATAAAATGAAATATATATCCAAAATAGGCCTCATGAGTGAAGGCAATGGCTTTGTTTAACTTTCAAGTAAAATTCGGGTTTTTTAAGAAAATATACAGTCTCGTCAGACTGCACACTCAAAACATTTTTCAAATAATGGACGGTTTTTCCAAACCCTTAAAAAATAAACCACGTGACATGATTAGTGCAAATACCTTGAATTAGGCGTTTGGCGTTCCAGCTAGAGGGAAGAAAATTAAAGATGGCCAGAATTTTCTTCTATTTTGTTCTCAGTGGAATTACTGGACTAAAGTTGGTGTCTGGAGATTGCGATCGGAACTACGGACCAGTTGGTACTCCTGAATGTGTGCTTTTAACTCCATATTACTTCAAGTACCAATGGGCGACGTGCTTAACTAATAAATACATACAGACAGTGTCAAAAGGAAACGCCATCTGTAGGGACATCACCGCAACCTACTGCTACTACCAATGCATGATGGAATTATATGAAATTGCTCAAGGTAGGGAAAACATCTTCCATTTTATATACGGACAGCAAGCAAATGCATAATGTTACTAGGGGTAGGATTTTTTTAATTGAACGAAAAATTCTCTTTATTTTACATTTCTCAGGACAAGTTAGTAACGATTGTGCGTGTGGCGTTGATGCACCAAAACAAACACAAACTCCACCAACGAATCAAACTCAGCTTCCGAGTCATTGCTACAGTCCATCCGGTAAAGACTGCAATTGGTACAGCGACTGCTTGGAGGTAAATAGTTTCAATAGAATGCTTTCATTCTTTATTGAAATTCTTATGATTAAAACAATTAATATGTTTGTAAAATTGTATATAAAATATTTGTTTTGAAAGGTTTGACTATCCATCATTTTTTCTTTGTTAAAACAGAGAAGATTCCCATGTCAAGAAATGCAACAAACATCATACGCAATAAACTATGGTCTTAAATTTTGCTCCTTGTACGAAAACCATTACCAGCGCTTCTCTTCTGAAGGTCAGCAGTGGATTGATGCCGTTAGAGGGTGTTTACAGGTGGCGTTAGTGCCACTTCTTCGTCCCTTTTTAACAATCACTTGCGGTGAAATAAAAGAGAAAGCATTCAATTCTCATTTGGGTTGTTATACAAGCCCACTTAAAAATGCACCATCGTTTTGCGATTTATCCTTCATGGATAAATGGAGAATCTTTTATACTGTTATACCGGGACTGATGTCAAATTGTTATCGAACAAGACATCTCTGTAAAGATATATTTCTATCAGCTAAGCAGTTATTGAATGTACGCATCGCATGCAAAAACCGCGAAAATTTGTCTGAAGAGGGAAAAATTCAACAAATCCAAATCAGGTATATTGGTCTTAACAGGCAAACAAGGTCGCGGCGTTCTTTGGAATCAACAGATGATTATTCAGCTGGGGCTGACCTTGTTAAAGCGATTGCAAATGAAATGAAATGGGATTTAAAAGGAGTGACATGGGTGGCATACTTTCAAAACAACATAACGGCAGACGAATCCTTGCAGTATTCGAGAAGGCACTTTTTAAACATTTTACTTGCACCCAGCAAATTATATAATTTAAATGACAGAAGGAACGCTTCCTCAGATGTAAATATCACCACAGTTGTTGAAGAAATAACTCAAGCATTCCGTGATGGCAGTCTAAGTTCAGATATGATCACTGAAATTTCCCTCGTAAACTTTGCGGTGTGCGCTGACTACAACTGCTCTAACAAAACTATCGAAATCGAACCGTCTGCCAGTAAAAGAGATACAGAAGAAGGGTTCTGGTCGTTAACAAACAGAATTTTTATTGCAATCGGGGCTTTTCTGCTTTTGATAATATTTATTTCTGTAATTATATGCCTGAACAGGCGCAATGCCAGCAAAATTATTTAAAAGCTAAGTTTTTGAAACAAAGACATATTTAAACTGTAGTTAATAACTGTAAATGAACAAAAATATACATAAGATAATGCTAGTGGTTATATACATACGGATATTTTGTACATTTCTAAAGCGTAAATGTTTGATTATGATTCATGTCAAAATAAAATGTTACATTGTAAACATATTGAACAACTCCTAGGCAGGGAGAATAATTTGTTAAAACATTTTACTATACATAATCAGTGCTTCGATTTTACAAATCATAATTAAGGTCTTCCGTTTCCAACGGAAGACCTTCTACTGATTCTGTTGGTAAAGATTTTTATTCTTTTTTGTTTTTCTTCTACTTCCTAGACGCCAACTTTGAGGCCTCATATCTCACTCATTTCTCAACGGATTTCGCTCAATTTTTCAGAGGTTATAGACGTTTATAAACTCTATCAGAATAATGACTAAAATATCAAAAAGTCACTTCCAGTTTTGAGTTATTCCCCTTTAAACGAAAAATCATAGGCTTTCGTTTCCGGATAAAGGCTCAGAGACCACAAAAGGTGGAGCAAAAATTTTACTTGTTTTAGATAACAGAAGGATTGAAGTTGTGCACATCGGTTTTTGTTTTTCGATTTCTGCATTCAAAATGGCGTTATATAGGGGTCAAAAATTAGAACGTCTAAAAGAACGAAAAATTACAGATATTTTCCTTTTTATCTTGAAAACTAAAAATATTTTGTTAAGACATGTTGAATAAAAGTTGTGCATAATTACAAGCGCTTTCATTTGATATCATTAAAAAGGGGCTGGCCCCTAAAATTAGGGATCTAGGGTCCTTGAAAGTTTTTGTTTAATATCTCAAAAAGTATTGAAAATTTATGATACGTCAAATAAGCAAAGTTATTCAAAATGTCAAGCTTTATCAATTGAAGTTGTCAAAATACGTCCGGTGACGTCACTTCCGGTCAAACCGGAAGTAGTCAAAAATTGCATATTTTTGTTGTTCTTGACAGGTTTTTGGATATCATATGTCACTGGAAGCTTAAATTTTAATTTTCCGTCCGTTGACAGTACTTCCGGTCAAACCGGAAGTTGCCAAAAATGGCTTGATTTTGCAAAAATAAACATAGATTTGGAGGATTAAACCATTTTTCGATTTCATCACTCTTTTTTTTTTTCAAATGAAAGTTACTTCCGGTCAAACAGGACGGAAGACCTACTTGTTGCTTTGCAACGAGCTCGGCTCTAGTTCGAAATACTTATTCGTATATTCTTACTGAAATTTTTAGTAATATATACATTTGTAGAATAATTGTAGAATTCTCAAATTTACATGTAAATATTTTTTTGAAATTAAAATTGTACGCCCAATCATGTTTTGATGAAGTAAGGAGAAATGTGGAAAACTCTCCTTAAATTTGTCTTAGTCCAACCCACACTTGCAAAAGTTGTTTCCCTTTGCGGGATCAATCAAAAGGTCAAAAGGGAAAGAAACGTCATTTCTCCTCTTTATGCTACCAAATATTTGGGCATGCTGTGATAAATCCAGTGCGTTTCTTTTTTTCTTTCAATATGTGGGTAGCCCCATCTTGGGGCAATCGGTACACAAGGGACAAAGCTTTTTAAAAGTCAAATGAAGAAGTTACAAACCTGAAAACTACAAAGGCTAACGTGTGGATTGTATGGGTTTATCCCCTAAGATGGCGGCCAAGGGACATAATTTTTTAAAAGTGTGGATAGGACTATTCGAACAGTTTTACATGATATGCCATATTTACCCATAAATAAACATGAAGCTTCCAAGAGCATTCTCTTTACCTGTGTGCAATGGGCGACAATTGTTCGTGCTGTTTACCTTACATTATTTTTGTTTATAGTTATTGCAGTTTACTGACTAAGTGTGCGACTTATATAAGGCCTTCAGATAATTATAAAGACAAATAAAGGATTTTGATGCCCATATTTCTTTTAGAAATCGTGTACAGCTTTAATTAGAGGAAGTGTTAAAACTTGACTTACACACCTAAAAAAATTCCTAACACGCACTTATTATTTTTTGATTTTGCAATGAGTATCTACCTAATCGGGACTACATGTAGTATAACTGATATGCCATCCAATACAATTGGCTTGACAAGTGTCTTGGTGTCATTTAAATCCCTTTAATTACTTTTCTACCCGTAAAACAATTTCCGATTTGCACTTCGCACCATTTATTACCCAGACAGGAAGTTTTGATTGTTGTTGTCTCCATGTTTCCTATTTTTGTATGGAGCTCCACTTTCAGTCCAGAAAACAGAAATTATAAATGCACTTTTTTAAATAATGTTTTTAAAAATTGCTTTTATATGAAAAATAAGAAAGATGATCAGATTATCTCAAGACATATCTAAGATATCCAATCCAAAAAGCCTCAGACACACTTGATGTTGATTATTAGGGCGTCTTCGAAGAGACTTTAAAAAAAAGTTATAACAAAAAATCAAACAATATACAGGGATTGACAGTTATAACAGCCTGTAGTCATCCAGTGCCTTCGTGTCCTTACCAAGTCTACCAAACTGCCCTGGATATCAGTAGTAAACATTTTTATGATTTTGAAACTATTTGAAATAATTCTGCAATAGGAAAATGAATAATGTTGTAATAATTTTATTCTCCACTTATTTATATAAAAGAGCCCCATAGGTATATTTTGTTTTCTGAGTTTTCAGTACGTGCAAATATAATGAACACAAGGACAGATAAAAAAAAACTAAAACATTATACACAATTAGATAATTTGTTCACAAATAAAATATTTACAGTGATACAATGAAAAATGAAAAAAAAACATTACTTCATTTCTGTTTCTAATGTTTTCCAGTGTATCGTTGATCATTCTTTGGACTTAACACAGTTACATTAAGAAGAAATGTCACTTTATTCTTTACATTTTATTTACATGTTAACTTTACTTTTCAACATGAAATTCTAATTTCTCTACTAATCAATATATAAGAATATTTTGGAAACGAGTCACTCATGTTAAAAAATCTCTCTGGAGCGGAAGTTAAACGGGCCTTAAAAACATGGAGTGGGATCAGGTGCCGTGAAGAAGTAGATACCACATCCACCGTGTGGTCCTTGTCTATGATGGACAAATCCGTAGATAATTCGGTGAAAACAATCGCCCAACATTCGAATCGATGATAGATTGCATTTTTTGACAATGACATAATATCAAGCAAAAAAATTGCAAAATGTTGAGTTCAAACGAGATACACCACTTCTATGTTCAACATACTAAAGAAATTTATCTTTACAAAAGAAAACTACCTGAAAATCCATTTTTCTGTTTTTCAATGACGGCTTTCAACACATATTATAAATCCGTCAGAGATAACATATTTTACAGAAAAAAACCCTATAAAATGGAAGCAATGGGTTTAGGATACCTGTTCATGATTATAATTGTTGATTTGGAGTTGTTGACAGGTTCCTGTAATCGATATCGCAACTATGGACCAGCAGGTTTTCCGGAATGTGTGCTTCTAGACCCATATTATTCAAAGTACCAATGGGCTACCTGCATGACAAATGAATACATTCAGACAGTTTTAAAAGGAAACGCCATTTGTCTACACCACTCAGCAACCTACTGCCATTACCAGTGCATGATGGATTGATTGATTGTATACTGCTTAACGTCCCTCTCCAGAATATTTCACTGATATGGAGACGTCACCATTGCCGGTGAAGGGCTGCAAAAATTAGGCCTATGCATTTACGGTCTTGAGAAGGGAGGGATCTTTATCGTGCCACACCTGCTGTGACACGGCGCCTCGGTTTATACGGTCTCATCCGAAGGACCGCCCCATTTAGTCGCCTTTTACGACAAGCAAGGGTACTGAGGACCTATTCTAACCCGGATCCCCACGGGGCGTGCATGATGGAGAGCTACATGTATGAAATTTCTGAAGGTTAGTAAAGGTAAAGTTTAAAATAATTCATTGTATTGCTATCTATTTGATATACATTATGTATTATACATGACTTTTGAACGTTATAAGCAAACCCTCCCAAGAGAAAAATTCAAAATTTTTACGTCATAGACGTACACCCAAATTTGTTGTAAGTCAGATTTAAGCGATCTAAAGACCATCTATTTATTTTCAATATAAAAGCACAGCTGTCTATGATGTCAAAAATTTGGCATTAATTGTATAAAATATTCCCTGAACTTTGAACCCTTTAAAAAAGTGTCAGATATAAGATACTTATCTTCAACTAAATTTATTGCAGCAGTAATGGCATGTCAAACAGGTCTATCGGGTGAAAGAACAAATCATGTAGACAGATTATGTTTTTCATATTCGATTTCCAAGCACTGTTTCTAATTTGAAAACTTTGGAAGCAATGATCTATGGCACATGGTGGGTGTGACCGGCCGGCAAGGAATGCTTACTCCTATATGGTACTTGATCCCACCTCCAATGTTTGTAGGTCCGTGTTTTTTTCTGCTCCTGTTTTGTTTTGTTTTATGGACTTTTGATCTTGAATGCTGTTTGTTATATCCATTTGTTTCATTCTAAGAACAACAAAGAGTGGTTCAACTTGAAATATGATGAAATACAATACTAGGTCTCCTTGTGATTAAGAATATAAGAAATGTTTACATTGTATTTTTTTGCAAATTGAAGTTCAGTTCGTGGAACGAACGGGTTGCCTGAGCATTATTCTCTTCCTAAAAATGTGTCGGATTCAAAATTTTGCAATATCCGTGATCACAAAACTAAACCTTATATGGTTGTGGAAGAAACAGAAAAATGGACTTTTTAAAATCGATTATTTAAACTTTAAAGAGAGAGTAAAATTTTATGTGAGTCTCATTTAATTTCTCTCTTTTTACATAAAGGTTACCGTCACTGCAATAAAATATAATATGAAATAAACCGGAAATTTCATGTTTATTTATAGGTGATGTTCCTGATGATTGTGCGTGTGTAGTGGATGCCCCACGTCAAACACAAACTCCACCAACGGATGAAACTCATCTTCTGAACCATTGCTACAGTCCATCCGGTAAAGACTGTAATTGGTACAGCAACTGCTTGGAAGTAAAAAGTTTTAAAAAAAATAAATGTGATGCATTTTATTCCTTTTAAATTGTATTTCAAATTCTTTTTATGGACGTTTGAAAATTTCCATTTTTTTTTCAGAGACGATTCCCGTGCAAAGAAAGCCAACAGACGTCATATGCTATAAACAACGGTGATAAATTTTGCAACTTGTACGAAGTTCACTACCAGAACTTCTCTTCTAAAGGTCAGGAGTGGATTGATGCCGTTAGAGGGTTCTCCAGGTGGCACTAATGCCGCTTCTTCATCCATACTTCCAAATTACATGTGAGGAAATTAACAAGGAGCATTTGATTTTCATGTCACCTGTTACATTAATCCAAGAAAAAACACTCCATCATTTTGTGACTTAACAATGTCAGACAAACTACAAATAGGTTTTACTGTTATACCCAGACTTTTTTCAAATTGTTTTCAGCATAAACACCTTTGCAAGGATATTTTTGAATCTGCAAAACAATTATGGGATAAATACAAGGCATGTACATATCAGTATATTTTATCTCGTTTAAGTAATGTTAATCAACCCCAATTCTCGTACTACGGTTTGAATCGGCAATATAGATCACTCAGATCCACAACCAATGTGGCTGATTACTCAGCAGGAGCGAACCTAATAAATACGATAGCAAACAAAATGGAATGGAAATCATCAGGTGTGACGTGGATAGCATATTTCCAAAACAACATAACGGCAGGCGAACAATCGGTCATGAAACAGTTAAATATATATTAATTGCTCCTAGTAAACTTTATAATTTGAATGACAATACAAACGTTTCTTCACCTTTCAACGTGACTGAAGCTGTAAAAAAATGTATTAGATGCGTTTCGTTCTGGTGTCTTACTTCAGATATGATCAATGGTATTTCCATCGTCAAATACTTTATATGTATCGATATCAACTGCTTGAATAAATCTTTGGAGTTTCAACCCCTGTCGTCGGCTTTGAAAAATGAGGCGAACGATGGGTTATGGACACCATCCAACACAGTATTGATAGCAGCCAGGTGTGCATTGTTTTTGCTGGTATCCTTATCAGCCATTAACTACATGAGAAAAAGAAATTCAAGTAAAATTGCTTGAAACGTTTACCCTATATATCTTGCAGATGAGGGTATATGAAAGCTTTAAAACATTGTTAATCTATATACAATTACAGTTTTAAAAAGGAAAGTGACGCTGCAATAAATGATGTGTTACTTATATATAATTTGTATTACTTTGATAGAACAACTAATAAATAAGATAAACCATTTTGATTTGCTGAGTTTATTCAAATACATGTATAAACACATGTACAAAAGGGTAAAGATCTCCATAAAAGTATTTGCAAATCTTTCTTGTTGGAGATAACAGGCATATAAAACAAATGCTTTATTGCATCGTCAATGTAACTTTTATTATAATGCTTCCATAGATATTTCCTTGATGTTGTACTTTGAAATCATTCTAGATAAAAAAAAAATAATTCAACATTCTGTTATTCAAATAAATCATACTCTCCTCGTCAAGTGTATTAATCTGATGAGGGGTTTTACCTTTATTTCCTGATCATGACATGGAGAACATAGCGGGTGCACTTCTCCATGGCACCTGATCCCATCTCTAATGTTTTAGAGGTCCGTGAACATGTTTGCTCTACTCCCATTTTGTATTGTTTTATTGACTCTTAAGCTTAAATACTCTTCGTTATCTCCATATATTTCATTAGGCATACTTCCTCTATCGTCTGACAAAACAACTTAATATTAGATGCATATTATATCTAGTTTTCACCACGGATTCTTCTTAACAATTTATAATACTTTTGAGGGGTACGGCTTATTTTCTTTAATACATACATATGTCTCCTGAAAAAGCAACGGGCCGTTATTTTTCTTCTTGTGGCTTCTATGGCCCATTTTGTTTCGTTTAAATACTTTGCTATGATTGTTTCAAAACATCTAAAATTTGATAATTTTAACCAAATAAATGATCATAAAAATGCACTTTATCTGCAAAGACTTATTCTAACCTATAGAATCTGCCTAAGAATAGTGTGTATTTACAACTTACATTTTGTGATATTTTTATCAAATTAGACTTTGAACTACAAATAAAAAGGCTACAAATAAGTTATATGGAGAATATAAACTGTCAAATAAAAACTTACTGCGGTTATACCAGGACTTTAAGATTGGCGAAAGATATTGCAATTTAAAAAAGAAATGTGCGTATATAAGTTAACAATCGTTTTCTTAATCTAAAAATAAAAATAATAGTCTTTCATCTATATTGTAGTGTACAACTTCTGAAAACAACCATACAAATTTAAATATATCAGAGGTTGAATCCGTTGCTTTGGAGGCGTAAATATCAACTGTCGACCGGTCACATTCGCCATATGTTTCTCTCATGATGGGGTATACAGAAAAACCTCTGAAGCTGACATCAAGAAGATGCTTGGATTTTTGGATACCAGGTATTTCAACAACCTATTGGAATTTCCATGGGTACAAATTGCGCTCCGTTATTAGCACACTTATTTTTATATTCATATGAAGGAGAATTTATGCAAAATCTTATGCGTGAAAAGAGGAAAACACTTGCTGTGGCCTTCAACTCGACATTTACATATATCGACAACGTATTGTCAATTAATAATGGTAATTTCCATTCTTACGTCGATACGATATATCCTGGTGAGCTTGAGATAAAAGACACCACAGAGTCTGACACTTCTGTTTCAAATTTGGATATTTTACTTGAAAAAGACACTAATGGTTATCTAACAACCAAGCTATATGATAAACGTGATGACTTTAACTTTTCTATCGTCAACTTCCCTTACTTATGCAGCAATATACCTTCATCACCTGCATACGGAGTATATATATCTCAGTAGATTCGATACGCAAGAGCATGCTCTACGTCTGAACAATTTCTAAAACGAGGTAAATCATTGAGAAGCAAGTTGACGAAACAAGAATATCAGCAGTCTCGTTTAAAGTCATCATTTCGTAAGTTCTATGGTCGATACAATGATCTTGTCAGTAAATAACATTTATCATTGAGTCAAATGCTGACTGACGTTTTACATACCAATTGTTAGACCATTATTTATACACTGAATTGACGACGGATTTTTCCGTTATTTCCTGATCATGACAAGGAGCACACGGCGGGTGTGACCGGTCGGCAGAGAACACTCACTCCTTCATAGCACCTGATGCCACCTCTGATGTTTCGGGGGTCCGTGTTTGCTCTGCTCTTATTTTGTATTGTTTTATGGACTTTGAGACTGAATACCGTTTGTTATCTCCATATCCTTCACTTAAGTGGGTAAATAATGGCCAATAATTAGTATGAGAATTTCTACGTTCGATTAATGATACTGGTAGATTGTTTTGCTGACCGGGCCAATGAGTCAACCATAGAACGTTCATAGCTTGCTATGTTCTAGATATTGTTTGTACAAAGCATAGTCATTAGGTTGTCATTGTCGGCTTTTCGTGGAGAAAATCTCACAATATGAAACAAATGTTTCAGAATTTGTTTGTATCTTTTATTTTAAGTTCAATGGCATTAGTCGAGTTGATCTATGACATCAAAATGATATTCAAAATACGTATTGAATATATCTAAATGTCGCGTTGATGGCTACAACAAGCGTTTTCTTCTTCTAATGTATCATACTTTATTATCCTCTTGTATTACAAGCCGTGTAAACACCCGCCGTGTGCTCCTTGTCATACGTAGAGCATGCTCTTACGTATCGCATCAACTGAGACATATAATTAAAAGTAAGGAAAGCTGACGATTGAAAAATTCGTCTTTTTCATGTAAAATACATATTAAAAATATTTAGATAAATCATTGATTTAATCCTTTTTAATAGAATTTTTTACGCTTCAATTGTGAAGAAATAATAAAGTTCTACATTTACTTGAATATACTGTTTAAAGAGCGACCAAGATATTTACCCTCAGGTAGAACTAAAAATCAAAACCTGTTCAAATGAAACGTATGGAGATAAAGAAGATCAAAAACCAAAAAACAATATGTTGACGGTGCGACCCTTAGGGCGAGCGCAGATACTTATCCAGTTTTCATTTAGATCGGACTCTTCAAACCGCACGTGACATTTGGTGCGTATAAGCCTC